AACAGATATCACTGCTAGCTTTCGCTTATGAAATCAACTGAATGTTGTTTCATGCCAACAAATCCTGCACCTTGCGCCTCCATTACTTTAGCAGAGAGATCCAAAAACTGTGGTGGAATGATTGTAAGTATTCGGCAAAAATGGAAGGAGCGATTGAATTACCATCTGCTCCTCTTTGTGTTACGGACTAGGATAGTTCGAGTTCTCCTTAGGCGGATTGCCTAATCTGATAGCGGGCTCGCTATTGGAGAGACGGGGATCTTCTCTCGAATGAGAGGTTCGGGGGTTCCACTTAAGGTAGCGTCGGCTTTCCTTAAGGTGCGTCTTTGACTGAAGGACTGGGACTTGTCTTTCAGAGGAAGTTCTGGTGAAAACCTAGTAGATTAAAGTAAGGAGCATCTACTTTAATCGTCGACCTTATATAAGGCTACTCTATCGTATCTAAGCTCAGCTTGAAGCTGGGTTCTAATCTGCTTATCTATCGAGTCAGAGATAGCATGCACGAGGCAGGCTTCTATCAGTACACGAGGCAACACGAGGCTTGCCTTCTATCTTGATAACAGGAATAGGTCTTCTAGACCTATGTCGTCATAGCGGTCCAGACCGCTTATCTAATCCGGCATCTTCCGGGGTTCTCTTCTATATCGATCCGATGTTCTATCCAGTGTTCTATTCCAAGGGCAGGAGGGGCCCGGGTATCGTCTATAGCCGTGCAGGTGGCAGAGGGCAAGGTGGCAAAGGGGACAGTGTATGTTTCACTGTAACATTACCCCATTACTATCGTCAAAGTCACCGACTTTGATTATCTACGACTTCTTCCATCGTCAAGGACGGCAGCGCCGGTTTCGTGGACGTGGAGGCGAATGGTGCGGGGGGAGTTTCTGGGTCAAGGGACAGTTCGGTGGGATGCCGAAGTTCTAGGTCCGCGAGCGCCATGTGGTTATGCTCCCAATCTGAGAGAGCTTCGAAAAACTTCTCTTCATCTGTAAACTCTTGTAGGACAATTCGTCCGTTGAGTCCAGGACAGTGTATGGACAAATGGTTGGGTCCGAGTTCATCGCAGATGCAACAAACATAATCAGGACACTTCTTCCAATGATGTCCGTATCCTCCGCAGCGCTTGCATGGCGTCGTGCGGGTACAGTTCATGGTAGCCTTTCGCTTTCTAGGCGGGCGTACCGGACGGGTTTCTTCTTCTTTGGCCTTTCTGGTTTCTACAGTTTTAACAGCTTGGTTCGCGATGTCAGGGAAGTCAAGCGGGAGTAGATGGAGCGCGAGGCCGCGGATCCGTTTCTGTAGATGAATGACGGCGAGTTTCTTCGTCTCTTCATCAAGGTCAACACGATTGACTACGTCTTCCAGTAGCTTCGTGGTTCTTATAATGCAGACGGCAAGGGAGGTGCCTGCTGCAAGTCTGGCGTCATGTCCTCCAAGGATATTGTCGATCACTTGGGAGTACGCGGGTGTTAAGATAGTCGCTTCGTTGAAAGCGCTATTCTCAATCGTTCTGAGGATGCGTCCGTAGTCGGAGTCCTTCAGTGTTACAATGACGGGAGAGTTTTCTTCAATAGAGGTCGACATGATGGAGGTTCGTGGAAAGGATGTTCGGGGAAGTCAAGGTTTATATCTTCTTCCAGATCGTTTCAAGCTCCGTTTGAATCATGCTTATCTTTTGGTTTCTTTAACTCTTTATCTCCTATCAAGGTTCAATCGTGAGGGCTTATCGATGCCTCGTTCTCACTATCAGAGGGAAGTGCCGTGATAGGTGCGTTCTTTCCTTTATCCTTTGTTGGTTTTTTATCAAGGTTCAGGAGTCGTCATCAGAGGGTGCTAGTCATTGCCATGATGGTTCGGGTTCTCGAGGATTCCGAGGGCTTGCAGGAGTTTCCATGGAGTTCGTCTTTTGATAGTTTTAGCCTCGTTCCGGAGGTTCTTCTTCTTCTATCTTTAGTTAGATGTTCACATCAGATATCGAAGGTTCTGTGCGTGTGATACGCGGGGGTCTTCTTAACCTTTTGTTTAAGATCGTGGTTCTTATACGCGGGTGTTTATCGAAGAGATCAGTGGATAAGGGGTTCCGAAGCTTGCAGGAGTTTTCCGGAGTTCGTCCTTTGTCCAATAGTTTTACGTCATCTTGGACGTGCATAGTTTTTAGGTCGTTGCGGACCATCGCGTAGTTTAGTCTCGTGCAGGAGGTTTGATAGTTTTAAGGTCTTTCCGGACAGTGGCGAAGGTAAGGCATCCGGGGCTTGCAGGAGTTTCTCGGTGTGTTAGTCTTGTCTTCAAGGTGAAGGGGTCCGTATCTCCGGGTTCGTCCTTCTATTCTCAGTTTAGAGTCGTGATGGACAGGGGATAGTTTAAGGTCTTTCCGGACCAAGGATAGTTTCGAGTCATTTCGGACTTCTGCGCAGTTTATAGTCATGCCGGACTCTTGCCGATTGTCGATATTTATAGATGAGGGTGCGGCCGGGGTGAGGGGAATTAAGAGTAAAATGAGTTTTTAAATGAGAATTTCACCCCCCAAGTAGGCTGTTTGATCACCGATCAAATCTAGAAATCTAAATCAAGGTTTCCGCAGTCAGGGTCAGACTGATCCGTGACTGGTGCGATCTCTCCCTGGAATAATCTAACATCCACAGGGTCGTCCTGGCGGGGACAGTGTCTTGCGATACGCTTTATCGTTCGCTGAAAGTAGTTCTGCTGTTTAATCCGATCTACTTCCATCGGAGTCATCGCGGGTTCTTCTGCTATGGCAGGGGCCGCGGGGGCAGTATGAACGACTATCTCGTCGTTATCTTCATCGTCAGTTTCTTCCATCATTTCATTATCGGCTTGTGTGGGCACGAGGAATGGGCGAGTGACTGGTGCGGTTCTCGATCGTTCTGGGAAAGAAACGATCGGCTCGGCCCGGTTGATCCATTGATCAGCGGCCGGTTCGTCTTCTACTAGTTTATACTCTTGGCGGAGTCTCTTCGGTGACGGCGCTTCTGCCGTGACTACCGATCTACCTTTTCCAAGAACCGAGGCAGGTTCTGCTGAAAAGACGTACTTCTGAGTTTTCTCCGGTTCAGGGGCCGGTCTAGGGATCTTTGCGCGAGGGGGTTCCTCGTCGAAAGTGGCTCTGCCTTTTCCTAAGATCTGGGCAGGTACTGCAGAAAATCTATATTTATCTGCGGGTGGTGAGGTGGCAACTAAGTCCGACTGTCTCGTGGACTTCTTCTCGACGTTCTGGGATGTCGAGGCGTGGGGTTCCAACGGCTTGGTAGCCGGTGCATATTCGAGGATTTCGTGGAGTTCCTCGATTGGGTTTAATGTTGGATTGAATCTCCGTTTTCCCGAAGTTAGTTTCGACTCGTTTCGGAGATCTTCCATCGGCGAATCAGCCGGTTCTGGTAGTTTAGCCTCATTTCGGAGGTTCTGCGTGACAGGTGCTTCTGTCAGATCTAGTTTATACTCATCTCGGAGTTCTTCTTTCTTCTTCGTCAGGGTGCCTACCTCTCTCTTTTGGCGCATGTTTCGCGTCCTCTTTTCTCTACGGAAGAGCGGCTTTAACTCGTTCCTCTTCCTACCTCTCTCAATCATTCTCTCAAGTCCTTTCGACTTGTCAGTGGCAGGGATAGTTATCGTGCCTTTCTTCCAATCTATGGAGGGTTTCACAGCGGCCAGCCATGTGAATCCGAGTAAGATGTCGTCTAAGCGCGGCATTATGAGGAATCGTCCGTGCATTACTCGGTCGTCGATTTTTATGATGAGTCGGCAAAATCTTTTGACGTTGCCTCCTATCGTTCCGTCTCCGTTCATTACCCTTTTTGGTTTCTGAAGGAGGTGCGTTCTAATGCGGTATTTCTTGCAGAGTTCTCTGCTTATAAATGAGTCGCATGCGCCCGAGTCTATGACCATGGTGGTCGTAATGGGCGGCTTAGTGATGGACATGAGGGTGGCGGCAACCCGTAGTTCCTTCTTCTTGGATACGCTGTTCTTGTTAATAACTATCAGCGGTCCAGTCTTCTCCTTACCAGCCGCTGTCTTGCGGACTGTTTCTTCTTCGATAATCTTTCTCCTCATCGGGCACTTGTGGTCGTTGGCCTTGTGTCCAACGTGATGGCAAGAAAAGCATCGTCGTTGCTTCAGGTGGTGTCTTGTATCCATTCCTGAAAGGTTGGCGGCGGCGTCGGTATTTCTTCTGATCATCATGATCTGTGTCGGTGCGTTCATGGTAGAGGGAGTGGTGCGAAGGTACAGTGATAGGCTTAAGGATTCAAAGCTTCGTACGTCTGTCTTGACAATTTGTGGATAGCTTTACGCCGGTCTCGGCGATTTGGTCACGAGAGTAGAGGTCTACGCTTGTCTCAGCGGTGCGGTCGGTATCGATTCAACGGCGGTGCGTGATGAGCAGGGCCGGGAATGTGAGACTTTAATCTTTTGTTACGGACTAGGATAGTTCGAGTTCTCCTTAGGCGGATTGCCTAATCTGATAGCGGGCTCGCTATTGGAGAGACGGGGATCTTCTCTCGAATGAGAGGTTCGGGGGTTCCACTTAAGGTAGCGTCGGCTTTCCTTAAGGTGCGTCTTTGACTGAAGGACTGGGACTTGTCTTTCAGAGGAAGTTCTGGTGAAAACCTAGTAGATTAAAGTAAGGAGCATCTACTTTAATCGTCGACCTTATATAAGGCTACTCTATCGTATCTAAGCTCAGCTTGAAGCTGGGTTCTAATCTGCTTATCTATCGAGTCAGAGATAGCATGCACGAGGCAGGCTTCTATCAGTACACGAGGCAACACGAGGCTTGCCTTCTATCTTGATAACAGGAATAGGTCTTCTAGACCTATGTCGTCATAGCGGTCCAGACCGCTTATCTAATCCGGCATCTTCCGGGGTTCTCTTCTATATCGATCCGATGTTCTATCCAGTGTTCTATTCCAAGGGCAGGAGGGGCCCGGGTATCGTCTATAGCCGTGCAGGTGGCAGAGGGCAAGGTGGCAAAGGGGACAGTGTATGTTTCACTGTAACACTTTGAGCATATTTTCATGAAGGCAATGGTTTGTGTTTTGCATATGCACCAGCAATGTTCTGATGCTACGAGAGCTTAGACCCAGATAAGTAGACACACGCTTGAGATCAAGCGGAGGTGTATTGTTGACAAGACGCAGTTGTTCATGCAAATACAGAACATAATGTTCGAGACATTCTAGATATTGGCGTCTTTTCTCGTGTGATGAAATAGTATCACTGTAAAATATCGCTCAAGGTCTGAAGGTTAATTCATTGAAACAATGCAACTTATGGATTGGTAGGGATAAAACCTATCTCTTCGGCAACAGTACGTTGTAGTGCCCCCCGTCGACTCTCTGTCTTATTTGTGTTAGGAGCAGCAGAGGTAAGAGGCTCATTGCTACGTTCACTGCTTTGAGACTGTTCGTGCTGTGTTGGGTAAAACAAGGACGAGGAAAGTGTGGTAGGGATTTGAGCAAACAGTATTGAAAGGTCTGTAGGAAGTTCCGAGGGGGTTGGTAAAAGAAGTTGCGGGGCATTTGCATAATAATCGAGGATATTGGTATTGGTGGTGGTGGGGCCTGGGGTTTGATTTAAAAAAGGGGGGTATGGGACATGGTGGCCATAGTACGTTTGTTCCACGTACGGTGTATGAATTTGACGGGAGGGGTTTGCTACATGAGGTAGGCCATAGGGGACCGGGACTGGAGCATGTAAATGCATTTGTGCCTTCATCTCCGAGTAGTCATATGATTGAATAGGTGGGTAGGAATAATTCAATGCAATTGATGCATCTTCAGCTAGGCCATAGGTCTCTACTGAATGTTGTCTAGTACCATTGCAATAGTCTGAACTTGGAGCAGGATGCCAGCTAGTATCGTCAGCGAATTGTTGATAGTATTAAGAATAAAAGTTGGCAGATGGTTGTTGAGAGATGGGATACATGTTTACAGTCATGAGAAATGGGTGAGCGGCTAGCCTGATACAGAGGAATGATATTCTAGATAAAAATGACATGTAGATGCAGATGGGTAATGAGACTCAGTAGAAGAAATTTTTGGGTGCCAAAGTGAACTCCAGGATCGGGCCTAGACGGGCAAGGCGCATGAATGAACGCCGACTCGGATGAAGGCCAAGGTTCAGAGTAATTGAGTCATCGACGGAGGTTGTATATTGCGGTAGATGTAGGGCATGGCAAATGTTTATGGACGCTCGCAGATCAACATTACATAGGTCACGTCAAATGAGTCGTAATACCGCAAGGCTAGTGTCTCGTATCTAAGGGTGCGGCATCAGTTGGAATAAAAGTTAATTTAGTTATGAGGATGGTCATCACTCAACTGAATGGTGGCCTGGATCCTGTGCAGATGATGTAACACCGAGATGGTCGGCTCTTTGCGCAACAAATCGAACTCTATGACGAAAACTTGGTAATGCTGGGTTAAAAGCTAAAAAAGAGGTCTGAGGAAACTTGGTGACACTTTGTTGAGGTCAGGAACAAAAATTAATAGGGCAAGTTGGAAGTGGAGGTCTTGATAAAGATAAATTACCAAGGGCTTGATGTTGAGTCCAGAAGCTGAAGGGCTAGACGAAGCGAGAAGGTAGTAGTGAGCTTGGGTAGCCGCGGTCGGACTTGAACGTAGCCTAACGCACCAGAAAAACTGCGGTTGAAATTATGTAATGAAACCTAGTAACAATGGAGAAGTCACAAGATTGGCAATCTTAATTACTCGAGACCATTGAGGTCAGTCTTTGCTCTTGTTAAAAGGAAAGGGAATCCAGTGTCTGTGCAAGGGCGTTCAGGCGATTGGTCAATGTTGCAAGCTGCTCGAGTTGTATATGATAGACCTAAGAGACTATCATCATAGTAGGTGTAAAGAATATCCGACCGACCTATCTTAGTTTCTCTTTGTACACAGCGGCGCTTTCATCTCTGACCGTTGAGCGCTCCAGCAACTTTAGTTTGCGTGCCCAGCGCTTTTGAGTACAGAGCACAACCAAAATCTACTCCCTCGCATTTTCCTATCCATGTAGCATCCACTTGTTTCCTCCACACCTCCATCTGGGACTCAACGGGTATGTTGTAATGTTTGCAGTTCGTTGTCTTCCAGGACGATTTGTGGTAGGCCGAGTTGACTCAGTTGAGCATGGAGTGTCGGTATAAGTTAGGTTCTGGCATTGAGGTGCGTGTATAGTGTTGATAATAACACGCTCAACGTTATGGCATGTTTGACGCGATGAGAGATGCGGCATCCATCAAAAGTCGCGGTGATGCCGCAAGTTTGTTTATGTAAATCACGTGATAAGGGCCAGGCCATACTATTTGATCTCGCTTAGGGTGTGGTGAAAAATTATCCAGCCAGTTATTAACTGGGTTATTAACCCAGGAGAGGGCAGTTAATTATTAACTGACATTTTTTAACACATATTGACAGTCGGCACGTGATTTTTTCACCAAGCTATTAATATTAACTGGTCAAAAACAGGAGTTAAGTATTAACTATTCTTGATGAAAAAAATTCTGTGCGCTGGGCAATTTTACTTCCAGACCCATTCACCATCAGCATCATCAGTGTCATCAATGCAAGCCACCATTTGCTCTCTCTTCTTACCTTTTGACACACTCCCTTGGGGTGGATCATCAGCGAGAATTTTTGTGAGTTCTGGCACGTCCAAGTCAATGTCTTCCTCGGCATCGAAAGTGGAATCACCAGGCATGTTTTCAATTTTGTCATCGAGCCAGGTATGAGTATCTTTCTCTGCAGTCCTTTGAGTTGGGATAATCAATGTTGTCACACAAGCCATAAACAGACTGAATTTTGGTAGCCGTGTAGCACAGAACAATGTCGTGACGGGAGGAGAGGTACGAGTTGGTAGAGATGGGTTGCCGGATGATGTTGAGCATCATGTTGACTGTGGTATCACTAAGCCAGACATGTGAGGCAAGCTGCAACAGCTTGGAAACAGGAGCTGTGTCACGAAAGCCAAGCACATTGCTTTCCAAGGGGAGCTTTGCCATTAAAGGGCGAAAGTCGGCTGCTGCAGAACTCGGAATAAGGCCATCATGAACTGTTTCGGATAGAACTGAGGTGTCGAGAACTGAACCACTCATAGCTGTCAAATCTGTAAGGAGGTCTGCGATACAAGCAAAAAGTTAGATCAGTAGAATTTTGATTGACATATCTATTATCCCAATCACTCCGTCGTCCGACACTCCGAAAAATGTTCCTGACATATTAGCATGATTCAGGTGCAAGCCAATGGCTGGAATGACACAAATATGTCAGTATGAGATTCTATGAGCCTTTATCCACCCAACACGAGGCAAATCAGGACGAATTTGATATAACGGCATGCCTAGGATGCCATGGTAGGACATGGTACATTATTTACAGTTCTTGACCGGTGTCCCTCCAGCGTTGAATTATTTACAGTTAATAACCCAGTTAATAACTCGGTTAATTAACCGCTGTTAAAAACTATTGAATTTTTCACCGCACCCTAAGATTCTCGCTCGTATCATACTGATTTGAAGTGCAGAGCTCGGGAAAACAATTGAGTCCACATTCTACCGAACACAATACGCGCCGATTGCAATTCTACACGTGCCATTTTATTCATGCCCCAGGGCGCAAGGTTCTCATCTATGATGGTTGGTCCAAAGTCGATGCGTCCATCACCCTGAATGATATCGAAGACGAACGAGAACGACGATGCAGTGCCCAGAAACATGAAACTGGACATATACATATCTTTTTCGCCAATGTTTCAATTACAAAAGTACATTCAGTACCCCAGGTTTGAGACTGTCGAAGCTGAATCCAATGGCGAATGTGATGGTTTCTGATTGGAACGCACTGAGGCTGGTAAACAGTAAGTCCGTCGAATTTACTGCCGACTTCAGCCTGGCAGCACGCTGTCCCTGAAAAGTCAGGGATTTGGCCGACTCTAGGGCTATTCACTCTGGGGCCAAAGTCTTGGGCCGGTCTGGGGCTTCGGCAGCTGACTTCAGGCGGAGTTCAAACAGGCAAAGCATCACGTGTCAATAGCTGCAGCTCTTCCACCGCTGCCCGCCACCGCGAATAACCTTCCTGCCAATGCAAATGCCTTCCCACCCGCCCGCTATCTGCTGTTGGAATGCTGCATTCGTGCTCCGTTCAAAATGCACACTATCAGTAGTTGATCAGTAGCCTTTGTTGTCCATTTCCCGCCCTCTTAATTGCCTTCCTTTCCTAAGGCTAATACCTGCGCAACTGCCCGCCTGATTCCCTGTCAGCGCTGTTTGGACGGGCAGGAGGGCGCAGCAGCAGGCAAGCGGCGGCTGGTGGGAGATTGTGTCAGCGTGACACTGTCCCTTGGTTGAGAGTTACGGCCCATCTGCAACTGAACCCAAGCCGCCCCAGTGTGCGCTTCATCGAAGCCCATCTATAGATGAATTTATTCCTGTGTTAAGACCGTGCACAAAGGGTAGGACTGATTCCGAGGGGCTTGGCTTCAGCTCGTGCGCTGCGCCCCTTACCCGAGTATGTGCCCTTAATTTCAGAATGATGTCCGAAGAAAGTCCAAGGATGTCCGAAGGACGTCCGAAGCGCGGGAAAGTTCGGAAGGACTTTCCGGACGAGTGCAAGTAACTTCCGGACGAGTGCGGGAAAGTTCCGGAGGAACTTCCGGAAATTACGATGAGGTTTCGTCCTGATACGGATACGTGTAATGGCTACTTATGACAAGTCCTAAGTAGAAGCAAACAGAGGAAAGGCTGCAAGGACAAAGTCCGAAGCAGAATAGGTCCGGAGGACCGCGGGAAAGTTTCGGACGAACGTCCGGAAACTTCGGAGGATCGGATGAGCGGATAAGCGGATGAGCGGAGCTCTGGCCTAGGGAATTTCTCCCTAGGCCTGAGATGGATATTGACTAAGTCGATAGACTAGAACTGATGTGAGGACTTAGAGTGAGATCTAGTGCGAGGACTAATATGATATTCAGACTGAGGAACTACAGGACATATACAAGAGTTTATATACTAAGGAAATAACGGAAAGATCAGTAAGCAAGCGTCCGAGGCTATGTATGAAGCATAAGCAAAGTTATCAAGCGCAAGTCGGAAATGAAGCATAGGTTAACGGATCAGTAAGCATACCGGTAGTAAGTATAACCGAGATACCGAGGACAAGGAATACCGAATAGAGGAATAGGCTGTGTTAACTGTTATATGCACAGGAATTGAACTAGGAAGCTTATCGTATATCGGATCGGATCGGACCGGACCGGACCGGACCGGACATCCGGATGAGACGCGTGGATTGAGGTATGGAGGTAAATGTATGTGGATGTGGATGTGGATGTGCAGGGGTGCAGGGATCCGGATGGATAGAGGACTGGAGACATGAATAGGGTGTCCGAAGGTCCGGATGAGGCGTGGGAATATTGTCAGATGTAGGTCCGGAATACGGGATATGACAGTATCCCCCCTTTAAGGCCGAGCCCTCGAGGCTGAAGACTTAGGAAGTTCGGAACGGAGATTGCTGGTATATGGCAAAGGATAATGATGGATGAATTCCGGAGGATTGGTTCCTATGAGTGAAAATTTCCGGAGGTCTCGGAAATGTTCCTGACACATGCATGGTTCATTATTATGCCTAGTACTTCATCTGGAGACTGGATGTCATAGACGGTGATGAAGAATGGCGATGGGACGCGAGGACAAATGGATTTCCGGAGCGGAA